TAAAATCGAGTACAGGCAAGGTTAAAAGCTCTGTACCACAGGGCACGGTCCGTGTACCACTGCTTTTCCTTATTCTCATATCAGACAAAGTCGCTTTGTGTCATCTTTTGCAGATGACACAAAAATCAGAATGAAAATTACTTCTATAGAAGACATTAATAAACTACAAGCAGATATTCATATAGTTTTCGACTGGGCAGCAGAAAATAACATGATGTTTAACAGTGGTAAATGCTGGGTACTTAGGTACGGTAAAAATTAAGACCTTAAACAAAATACAGAGTACAAAACAGAATCAAATCTGTCAATAGTAGGAAAGCAACATGTAAAGGATCTGGATATAATGATGACTAACAATTATCGTTTAGGGAGCATAACCAAAAAAATATTGCATCAGATAAAAGATAATAAAATGGATTACGAGAACCTTTAAATCCATCGCAATGCTCATACCATTCAAATCACTGGCGCTCTCCCATCTTCAGTACTGCTCGATACTTATTTCCCCCTTCAGAGCAAGAGAGACTGCTGAAACAGAGGGAATGCAGAGAATATATACGGCACACAAATACACGGTAAAGCAACTAAATTATTGGGATTATCTCAAAGCTCTCAAAATATACTCTATAGAAAGGGTGGCTTGATCTCTATCACTCAATCAATCTAAGCAACAGTGTGTTGGACCAAGCTCTCACAAATTAAGCCTGGCTCCGGACCGGGCTGGGGAAGTAGAAGATCCTCACGCAGAACCTCATCCAGGAACAATCCAGGAGGGCTTCGATACAAGCCTGATCTGTACAGGCTTCCTGTCTTCGTCAACGGCAGTTATTATAATTAAATAATCCGAGCAAAGTTATATGTGGTGCCTTCGAGACCGAAAGAAAAAATATACGTAATCAAATATAGATTAGTTCCATCATAGAAGCCTCCTACTGGGGGTTGGTTACAGTGTGCTAACATGGTGATTGATCTATTGAACAAATTACCGGGCAACATAATCTTCGTGGCATAACGTGATTGTTTCAAGCGTTGGTTAAACATGTATACAAATGACTCTGGAGGGATATAAATACGAGCTGACTTGCATGAACCAATAGGCCTTCTATAGTATCATTAATTCTTATGCTCTTATGTATTATACTTTATAGTTTGACCAAGGAATAAAAGTATATACAAGTTGTGATAGATTATTAAAACAAGTTATAAAACAATATGAAACGAAAGTTTAGACAAGAAATTAAACATCAAATCTTACACATTGATGTTTACGATGATTGATTGAAGCCATTGTTTGTTTACATCTTAGCGATGACGTAAGAGAGTATTCTGGGTTGCCACCCCAGGATGGAGGCTGATGGCGCGGGTGTGAATTTAGAACAAGTCAGTATGATCTTGCGCCGTGTTGGGTCAGGCAATACCTACCCCACTTTCTTCCGAAACAAAATATATAAACATATAAACTTGTAAGCTAATATAAACAATATATACATAAAACTGGGTATACGATAAATTTATGCTAATGAAAGAGATGAGAAACATTTTTTGAATTTCAATTACAACAAATATCAACAAAATAAATATCCTTTTCGAAATGAAACAGTAGATGAAAATAACGGTGAAACGGTAAATGATAACAGTGAACCAGTAAACTGAAACAACAGTGAAACAGTATATATATTAGTGGTAAAAAAAAAACAGATTACAGAGGGCAAAAACAGATATATAAAAATTAGAACAGCGATAGCAACAGCGAACGATAATAGCAGCAAAAGCACTAAACAACATTAGCGTTAAAACGGCGAACAGCAATAATAATTCCAAGAGGAATTAATCAATGGATCTGATGAAAATATTTCTGGCCAAAAGGTGAACCCGGTCAGAGGAAGCTAACGAGACTGGCGAACAGTTATGTGTACGGAGGAAGCAAACAAGACTGGCGACCAAGAAGGTACGTGCATGGTCACACTGGCAGTGACTGTGTCAGAAGTACAGATATATATATATATATATATATATATATATATATATATATATATATATATATATATATATATATATATATATAAGATATATATTACAGAATAGATGTAATGATATATATTACAGGATAAATGTAAAGATTTATATATTGAACTTTGTTGCACCGGACTGATGTATAGTGCACCATTAGAGGTAGATGGGTAGAACCATATCAGAGGCTACATTAACAGAGCAACATTAAGGACTATAAGTGGAGAGGAGCAATATTGTAGAGGGAAGGATACGTATGAATACATGATAGTTTTAAATAATTGTTCTATACAAAATCTGACCTGCCTGTGTATATCGTAGCGACGTTGAGTTATACAGTGTCGTACGTCTGGTAGTGCAGCTGTGAAGAGGGTGTCGTACGTCTGGTAGTGTAGTTGTGTAGAGGGTGTCGTACGTCTGATAGTGCAGTTGTGTAGAGGGTGTCACACGTCTGGTAGTGCGGTTGTGTAGAGGAGTGTCGTACGTCTGGTAGTGCAGCTGTGTAGAGGGTGTCGTACGTCTGGTAGTGCAGCTGTGTAGAGGGGTGTCGTACGTCTGGTAGTGCAGCTGTGTAGAGGGGTGTCGTACGTCTGGCAGGGTCGCTGAGCAGTGGAGTGTCGTACGCTTGGTAGTACCTCTGTGTAACAGGGTGTCGTTCATCTGGTAATACAGCTGTGTCGTGTGGTGTCATATCGCTGTGCATGGGTGTCGTACGTCTGGTAGTGCCTCTGTAGTCAGGTGTCGTTAGTCTGGTAACGTCAGACAATGTAGTGGATTGTCGCGTGTGATAGCGTTGCCGTGTAATGGAAAGTCGTACGTCTGGTAGTGCAGCTGTATAGGAGAACGGAACTATCAGGAGAAAGTGCCAAACAATTATAACTACATACTACATAGCACTAACTACATAGTTGGTTGGTGCTACATAGCACTTGGAAAGGATCGGGATCAGGATTTAGGATGTGACGGGGGAAAGGAATGGTGCCCAGCCACTTGGACGGTCTGGGATTGAACTCTAACCTGCAAGAAGCGAGACCGTCGCTCTACCGTCCAGCCCAAGTGGTTGTGCTGTGTAGTGAGGTCTCACATTACTGGTAGCACCCTTGTGCAGTGGAATAGCGTACGTCTGGCAGAGTTTTATGACTGTTGGTGAATGTTGTACACGTGACAAAAGCTGTTAGGCACTGATAAATAACAAATGAAAATAACGGATGTCTCTTCATCATTCTTGAATTATACATCTGGCAGGGGTGTGGAGCGAGTGGTGGCAGCGTCTGCGCCAAAATAAACAGATCAGAAAGGCAGTAGGACATGTTTCTCTGCTGCTGCTCCTTCTCCTCTACACAGGCCTCGGCGCTAAGGTAACTAACATTCGCCACAACTTCTGCCTCCAACAAAAGAAAGATATCTTTCTCTGTTGTTATTGTTACTATCACTATTACTGTTATTATCAATTATTGTTGTCATAACTTATTTAATATTTCGTTCCACTTAATATTATTTTCAATATGAATTTGCGAAAGGGAATTTGCTTCATACTTTTGCTTTGATAATCTGTATTAGATTTAGTTTTTTTTTCTCTTACTCTTAGTTTCCATTAGGCCTTTTCCTAACCGATGTCGCAACAATAATTTTAACTTCATCAAACTTGCTACACACTCTCCCTGAAACTATGCACATCCACTTGTACTGGTCAACATGGCGATGGCCTTGCGTCTTGCAGGGTCTGTGTTCGATACCCGATAGTGCAAGTGGCTATGTGTTGTGCCTTCACTTCGTCCCTAAATTCCAGCTCCATGGCCTCGTGTCCAAGCTCCTTGTCTTCGTATCCCAGCTCCTTGTCTTCATATCCCAGCTCCTTGTCCTCATATCCCAGCGCCTTGTCCTCCCGTTCCAGCTCCTTGACCTCACTGTGTTTCAGGTGTTTCAATCACTGGAGCACGAGGTGGAGCAGCAGGAGCAGCAGCAGCTCTGGACGCAGCTGCACCACGAGAGGCAGCGTCTGATTAGGCAGCTCTCGAACTTTACGAACTCACAACAGTACCACCAACAGCCTCAACAGGAACAGTCTCCCCCGCGAGAACAGCACCAACAGGAACAGCACCAACAGCAAGAACAACAAGAACCGGAAGAAAATCGTTAGTAAATGAATACAATATAATGATTTATTATAAAACAGTTGGCTAATTCCTGAATGATCTTCCTAGTTTTTTTATTCATATGAACTTGTTTGTATATGCTGTGTATGATGCCTAGGGGGAAATCCTAGACGAGAATTACAGGGAAAATTTCAGACGGGAATTCTAGGGGGAAAGGGGAATCCTTGGGAAACTTCGTGGACTAAAATTCAAGAGAGAAATCCTAATAAGGGAAATGGGACGGGGAAGGAATGGTGCCCAACCACATGGGCTGGACGGTAGAGTGACGGCCTCGCTTCATGCAGGTCGGTGTTCAATCCTTCGACCGTTCACCAAGTGGTTGGGCACCATTCCTTCCCCCCGTCCCATACCAAGTCCTTATCCTGACCCCTTTCAAGTGCTATATAGTCGTAATGGCTTGGCGCTTTCTCCTGACAGTTCCGTTTCCGTTTCGTGTCCAGTATCGTAAGGAATCATTAAAGACTTCTAAAAATAAAAAGGACTATATTTTACAATGAATATATATATATATATATATATATATATATATATATATATATATAGTAATTAATAATATTAATTTATTCATAACACATGTATGGGGGGTCCATGGTCAGAGTATAATTGACATATATAGGTACTTATGCATTTAATAACGCCTTAATAACCACGTTGCCAGAGACCGTGACGGAGGGAGAGTTCGGGGTGACGGCTGAGACGGTGTCCAAGTGGTTGGGACGATACGAGGAGGTGTTGGCGGGGTGTCAAGGCTCCGGGGTGTACCCTCTGCAGGAGGAGATCAACCCTAGGTGGACCTACACCCAGGCTCTCTTCTTCAGCGCCACCGTCCTCACTACTATAGGTCAGTACACCCTGGGGCCCAGATGGACCTACACCCTGCTAGAAAAAAAATCCTCGGGAATAATAGGGAGGGGGAGGGGGCGTTTGACAAGCCGGCTGCTTCCTGTCTCCATCGAGGCCACTAGAGATGGTAGCCCTCAGGTAAATTCAGGTATAGGGTAAATTCACCGTCATCGTCTTCACTACCGTGACCTTTGACCTCCGTTCGTGGACATTAACCTTAAACCCAAGTCGGAAGTTAGATTCTCAGCCCATGCTCGCCCCTCAAACTTCCCTCCCATGTTCTCTCCACTCATCCTCTCCCAGGGTTTCTCCTGGCCTCCCTCCCCCCCCCACTACCGTGTTCTCCGCTTGTGTTCTCCACACAGGGTATGGGACTCCCTCCTCCCCCCACTACCGTGTTCTCCGCTTGTGTTCTCCACACAGGGTATGGGAACATCGCGCCATCTACGGTCGGGGGTCGTGTGTTCTGCATGATCTTCGCTCTGGTGGGGATACCGCTCACCCTCTCCGTCATCGCCAACATGGGGGACGTCCTTGCCTCCCTGGTTCCTGTCGCTGCCCTCGACATGTTCCTCCCCAAGTACGTTGTCTCCTCCCCAAGTCCACTGCGTCCTCAGCAGGCGCAGCGACTGAGATTGTAACATTAGTGGGATCACAAGTATAATAATCCTATTACACAGTCTTTACTCTTAAATATCAGCGCTTGTTCTGGATTGTTTTAAGCGTAGGTTAGACATACAGTATATATAAATGTATTTGAGTCAGGGCCGGGTTACCCCCCCCCTGGTGCTGGTGAGCCCACCAGCACCAGGGGTGTCCACCAGCACCGGGGGGGGGGGGGGGCCTCACCAGCACCAGGGGGGCCCACCAGCTGTCTACATGCATGTGTTTACCCCCTTTGAGTAGCCACACTGACCAGAGGGTCGGAGGGCCTATTTAGTTATTTTGGCTGAGGGCCCAAAAACAGTTATATCCGGCCCTGGTTTGGGTGGGCCGGATACAACTGGCGCTGCCCCCCTAGGAGCCAATAGCCTTCTCCTCCATCCTTTATTACGACGATAAGAGCGAGGAGAGCTGTCATTTCCCGTCCGCATTAGAGTAGAAAAAAGAGTAGCAGATAAGATACTCTATGACGAGCAGCTGGTCCCCCCTGTCTTTGTCCCTGTACCTGTGTCAGCCATTACGGTCTCCTCGCTCCCCCAGGGGTAAGCTGCGGGCGGTGGTGACGGTGGTGTCCACGCTGAGCCTCCTGGTGGCCTTCATAGCGCTCGGGGGCGCCCTCTTCATGTTCCTCGATCAGTGGACCTTCACCGAGGCGTTTTATTTCTCCTTTATCACCACCACAACTATCGGGTTTGGTGACCTGGTGCCTGGTGAGTGGTTCTCAGGTGTGTGTGTGTGTGTGTGTGTGTGTGTGTGTGTGTGTGTGTGTGTGTGTGTGTGTGTGTGTGTGTGTGTGTGTGTGTGTGTGTGTGTGTGTGTGTGTGTGTGTGTGTGTGTGTACTCACCTAGTTGTACTCACCTTTGTGCTTGGGGGTTGAGCTTTGGCTCTTTGGTCCCGCCTCTCAACTGTCAATCAACTGGTGTACAGATTCCTGAGCCTACTGGGCTCTATCATATCTACATTTAAAACTGTGTATGGAGTCAGCCTCCACCACATCACTGCCTAATGCATTCCATCCGTTAACTACTCTGACACTGAAAAAGTTCCTTCTAACGTCTCTGTGGCTCATGTGAGTACTCAGTTTCCACCTGTGTCCCAGTTCTGGGACTAGTCTAGTGGCATACCTTTGGACTTTTTCCAGCTTCGTCTTGTGCTTGACAAGGTACGGGCTCCATGCTGGGGCCGCATACTCCAGGATTGGTCTTACATATGTGGTGTACAAGATTCTGAATGATTCCTTACACAGGTTCCTGAACGCTGTTCTGATGTTAGCCAGCCTCGCATATGCCGCAGACGTTATTCTTTTTATGTGGGCTTCAGGAGACAGGTTTGGTGTGATATCAACTCCTAGATCTTTCTCTCTGTTCGTTTCATTAAGTACTTCATCTCCTATTCTGTATCCTGTGTTTGGCCTCCTATTTCCACCACCTCGTTTCATTACTTTGCATTTACTCGGGTTGAACTTCAACAGCCATTTGTTGGACCATTCACTCAGTCTGTCTAGGTCATCTTGTAGCCTCCTACTATCGTCCTCAGTTTCAATCCTCCTCATAATTTTTGCATCATCGGCAAACATTGAGAGAAACGATTCTATACCCTCTGGAAGATCATTTACATATATCAGAAACAGTATAGGTCCAAGGACTGACCCCTGCGGTACTCCACTCGTAACGTCTCGCCAATCTGAGACCTCACCCCTCACACTGACTCGTTGTCTCCTGTTACTTAGGTATTCCTGTATCCAACGGAGTACCTTCCCTTTCACTCCAGCCTGCATCTCCAGTTTTTTCACTAGCCTCTTGTGTGGCACTGTGTCAAAGGCTTTCTGACAATCCAAAAATATGCAGTCTGCCCACCCTTCTCTTTCTTGCCTTATTTTTGTTGCCTGGTCGTAGAATTCAAGTAACCCTGTGAGGCAGGACCTGCCATCACTGAATCCATGTTGATGCTGTGTTACAAAGTTCTTTCGCTCCAGATGTTCCACTAGCTTTCTTCGCACAATCTTCTCCATCAACTTGCATGGTATGCAGGTTAGGGACACTGGTCTGTAATTCAGTGCCTCCTGTCTATCCCCTTTCTTGTATATCGGGACTACGTTAGCTGCTTTCCAAATTTCTGGCAGTTCCCCTGTTGCCAGTGATTTGTTATACACCATGGAGAGCGGGAGGCACAGTTCTTCTGCTCCTTCCTTTAGTATCCAAGGGAGATTCCATCTGGACCTATAGCCTTTGTCACATCCATTCTAGTAAACACTTCCTTACTTCCCCGCTGGTAATCTCAAACTCTTCCAGTGGTTCCTGGTTAGCTATTCCCTCTCTTATCTCTGGGATTTCTCCTTGCTCCAAGGTGAAGACCTCCTGGAATTTCTTATTCAGTTCCTCACACACTTCCTTGTCGTTTGTAGTGAATCCTTCTGCCCCTAACCTTAATTTCATAACCTGTTACTTTACTGTTGTTTTTCTCCTGATGTGGCTATGCAGCAATTTAGGCTGAGTCTTTGCCTTGCTTGCGATGTCATTTTCGTATTGTCTTTCTGCCTCTCTTCTCATCCTAACATATTCATTCCTGGCATTCTGGTATCTTTCTCTGCTCTCCAGTGTCCTGTTATTCCTATAGTTTCTCCATGCCCTTTACTTTGCTGCTTAGCTAGCCTACATCTCTGATTAAACCATGGGTTTCTCATCTTCATTTCACTGTTTTCCTTTTGGACTGGGACAAACTTGTTTGCTGCATCCTTGCATTTTTGCGTGATGTATTCCATCATATCTTGGGCCGTCTTTTCCCTGAGCTCTGTTTCCCATGCTATATCTGCTAGGCATTTTCTTATCTCCTCATAGTTTCCCTTTCGGTATGCTAACCTTTTGGTTTCGGTATCCCTTCTCGAGTTCAATAACTCTTCTTCAATCAGGTACTCAAACACCAATACACTGTGGTCGCTCATTCCTACTGGGTCCTCAAAACTGATTTCTCTTATGTCAGAGTCGTTCAGGGTGAAAACCAGGTCGAGTCTCGCTGGTTCGTCGTTTCCTCTCATCCTTGTGGGTTCACTGACATGCTGGGTTAAGAAGTTTCTAGTCGCCACCTCCAGTAGTTTGGCTCTCCACGTATCTTCGCCTCCATGCGGTTCCTTGTTCTCCCAATCAATCCTGCCGTGATTGAAGTCCCCATGATGAGCAGGTGGGATCTATTTCTACAGGCAGAAGAGGCTGCCCTCTCAATTATAGTGTTAACTGCCATGTTGTTGCTTTCG